TTTTTCCTTCGTCTGCAGCCATCACTTCGACTCTGATCTGACTTCTCTGCCGGATCGTTTCTGTAAATTTTGTGAACTACCGTGTTTAAGAACACGTAGGTAGATAAATTTAGAGCGCCGAAAAATTTGACACTATTCCCGTTTTTCACTATTCACGGAATAGTAACCCACACAAAAAAAATTACAGAATTAACAATCTGGCTCTGATACCAGTTGTTGGGAAAAATACGCTGAAATTTCCATGAAGTCGGATCTATAAAAGTGAAATAAAACGAAAAAAATGGACACACCAAATTGATAACGGAGTTCGGCCAATAATGCCTACGTCTCCGGACTACTGCAGATATTTTATTGGGAAAAAGAAATACACTCGTGTTTACAAAACACTCTCGAAACTCACTCACAACCGACAACACAAATACACACAGAAGCTAAAATTTTTGCTTCTCACTCACACCCTTTTTATCTCTCTTTTCTCTTTTCAGGATATTTGTATTTGTTGTTGTGTCCTTTGCCATCTGAATCCCCCTCAATTTATAGAGGGGGAAGTGTACATTTTTTTTCAACATAAGTGTACTGATGCTTTTCCACCCGGGCTGCTGTATCCAATTTCTTTTTCTTCTTTGGATGCTAGTCAAAGAAAGGCTGCAAAATTTTTATTCTTTTTGTTGCTTTCAGAAAGAGTGGGCGGCTCTTTTTGACTTAACAATACCTTCAGTTGGGAGCCAATTTCATTGTTTTCTGATTAACTTGTAGGTGCACTTTGCTGCAGGAAGGGATCTTAAGCCTAAACATTTGGTTAGCATGATTCAAACTCTAGCAAATTGGTAAATGATCTCTTGCCTTGTCGAATCAATTCATGTTCATTTTATTGTTATTAGGTTTTTAACCTTTCAATTGACATTTTTCTAACATCCTAATATCTAGGGGTTTAATTTTTTTTTCCTATGGAGGTCCTAAAATGCAACCAGACAATAAGCACTGAGAGAAAAGTGGCACAAGTTTATTAATATTTCAAATCCATTAGCTTCTGGCTTTTGAAAGAAAAAGGGAAAGGAAAAATAAAAGACACTGCACGCTTTAAATTTTTGTTGCTTCATTGATATTGGTATTCATATCCATCTTTGCTTGGTCATTGAGCCACATATACTTCTCCTAAATTGTGTATACTTGGTCGTAACCACTATTGTAGGCTATCCACATCAGAAAGCCTCCTTGGCTCAATCCAAGAGAAGATAAAATGGGCAGATACTATGACTGAAATTCGAACGGAGCACATGAAGGAAGTTGATGAAAAAGTTGGTGAAGTGAAGAGAATACTATCGTTGAAGGTCAGTTTATTGTCATTGCATATGTTCATGCAGTCAGTTGTGGAGGATTTTCTGCTTGATTTCACTACCTTTTGCCTCTCTCCAATTCCAGTAAATTTCTCAGTAGACAAAATACTTGGATGTATCTTTGACACATGAAATGTAGATTGTTTATTAATTAGAATCCATATTTTAGATTTTGGCTTATGTTCGACGTTATTGCTTTGATCTCACAAGAGCAAATATATAGAATTCTTGGATATATATAGATGTCTTGGATATATATATTGTTAGATGTGTCTTACATTGTGGCAAAGTTTACAAATTAGCAGGCCGATGCCAACTACAGAGGGTACTATGAGGAACTCTATTTTGAGCATGATAGAATGATGGGCTTTGAAGAAATCCGCAATATCCGACACAAAAGGTAGCACTTGACTTTATTTATTTTTCTATGTTTTCTGTTTTATTATGAAATAAATAAGAACATAGTGCATGTCAAACCGGCCGTATAGCTTTTTGTAATCATCCCTAAATTCTGAGTGAACTGAATAATATGCAGGCGACGTCACCCCATGGGTTGAGGAGTTACTGCCAAAGAGTTACTGAGTTACTGGGAAAGTTCAACTCATCATTTTTTTTTTTTTTTTATCATCAAAGCTGGAGATAGCTGCTTTTGAAGATATGGTCGATTTCTATCCCATAGAACGCGTCCAACTACATCGTATATACATTTTTAGACCTTAAAACGTGACAAACAGTTGCTCATATGGCCTCTGTAAATTTTCTTTTTTACTTGATGAGTTGACACCTTTTGGATCTGGCTGAAGCTAATACTGAATATCGATACAGTATTACGTTAACCTTCTGACAATATATCATCTTCATTTTTGCCGTTGTGTGCAAATATCATCTTCTTTTCATCTTTTGGGCTTTGCAAATGTCACTTCGTGTGCCTCAAAATAACAAAGCTGAGGTTTTTGTAACTGTTTATCTCATTCTTTTACGGGTTGAGCAATTAATAATTAAATGCATGTGACAATATATACCAGTCCAAAATCGCTCCAATTATATATCACTAAAAAGAAACAAAAATCATCCACAATATTATAATCTTATTTTGAAGATATACAAATACACGTCACCAACATTTAATATGTCATCAAGCCGAACCACGGCCCCGCTTAGCCACCCGGGTCGGCCCGGGAAAACCCAACCCGACCAGGTGCGGGAAATTGACCCGGGCCCGCGTGCCATGCAGCTCGAATGCGGCTCGATCGTATGCCAGAGCCGCATCTTCAGGCGTCTCGTAAGTTCCGAGCCACATTCTCGAGCCCTTCTTTTCCGGGTTCCTTATCTCGGCCGCAAACTTTCCCCATGGCCGCCGCCTCACTCCTCTGTACCGCCGCCACTCGACTGGCCGTTTCCCGTCTGCCGGAACTTCCGGTCCTCCGGCGTACTCCTCGCTGCACATTAGCAGCTCCTCCACCATTTGCTTTGATGATAGATCTTCGCCATTAGATACGGTTTGATCGAACGTAAAATCGGGTGGGAAAACATCGGTGTCGCTGAGAAGATAATTTTGTACAGATTGTAGCAAGGAGAAATCAAATTCTGATAGATTTTCTGATTCCATTGATTGTTAATAAAAGAAAAACAAAATGTAGAGAAAAAAATTGATGCAAAATTGAATTCAATTAGTTGTTGAACAATTTGTGATGTGTTTCCCCTGTATTTTTATAGTCTGAAAGGTGAAATGCAAGAATTTGTAGCCATGATATTTCTGTGAAGATTCATTAATGTCCAAGTGGGAATCCAGATATCTACATTTTATATGCAGTTAAAACATAAAAGTTCAAATTTTTAGTCTCAGTTGATCAATATATTTTATGTGTTTGTTGATATATATCATGCATTGTATATTTGTAGGTACAATCATCAAAAATATTAAAAAAATGTTAGAGTATTGCATGGGGAATAAATTATATTTTGTTGGATTTAATAAACGTGACACTAAAGGAAGACACATGGGGAGTTTCTTAAATATGTCTAAAATTGGATAAAAAAAATGATTTTCAATATAGGATTAGGTGTACTTCTAAAACACAATGTGCTGGGTAAAGATGTTAAACATGTTAGACCTGGCGGTTCATGCTAGCGAGTTTTGGGCGAGTTTTAGCAGGCTTCGAACTAAATGGTCCGAACTTAAAAAGCCTGAATTTAAACGGACTATCAATAAAGAGTTCTAATAAGAATAATAATAAAACATAGAAATAAAATTACAACGGCTAGTTAACAATTGTTTTCAGCTGTTATTTAATATTTATCACTCTATATATATATACACAACTATATATCATGTATTAAAACACATTACAAACTCTTAAATGACATAATTTTTTTCAAAAGAAAAAAAAAATGTTTGAACTATTACTTATAATAACTATTTTACTACTTATTTTATACGCTTTGAAAATTTTCATAATATTGTATCATACTGCTAAATTTTATATTCTATCACTATGTTCTAACTTTTATGTGTTAGGTCTTTGTCTCATGCATTTTCTATTAATTGTTCTAATTGACTTAAAAATATAGTGTGAAGTAGAATAACGAAAGTGTTAATAATTATTTTTTCAAATCATAATAACTCATTACAACTCATAATTACATATGAAGTAAAATAGCAAAATTGTAATATACAAGAAATTGGTTGATTGATTTACACCGTTCAACCCAAGTTAAACGGGCTAGCCCTATTGGGCTTCGAGGTAAACGGTCCGGGCCTAAAAACCCTGATTTAAACTTGCTACCAAAAAAAAAACCCTAACTTTGTTCTTTTTCGAGCAAACGGGCCGGCCCGTCAGGCCAAATGACCGTTTAACATCTGGGATAAGTGTTTAGTAATAGATTAGTAGCCTGGAGAAAGAAGTATTTTATACTGAAAGCAGTTTTAATTTGAACAAATTCAGAAGGTTAATTTAAATAGTCAACCCCTTCTTTGGCATTTTATTTCAGAATATTTATATTACTGATATAGTCATGAGGATTGGTCGGTAGGCGCCTTTTTATGTTCACTGTATAATGCAAGAATTGATTATAGTAATTTTTATCATCCATTTTGTTGTTACAGGTTTTGAAATTGTAAATACAAACATTCAATTCACGGGCATAATTAAAGTTGTAGGAAGGCTACCTAATTAATTAATACGCATGCACATTTTCCAATAAATTTATATATTTTACAATTTGAAATATTATACTTTAGAAAATGATATAAATACATAATACAATTATATTTTTTATTAGAAATGAATGTTTGGGCAGCTTAATACAGCATTTGTGTTAAATTTATTGTCAAATGAATATGAGAAGTACTTGTAATATTAAACGAGTAACTGATCATCAGATGCCTTAGAAAATCAATTCTAAAGTTAGTTTATATAAGAAAACCAAATCAAGTGAAAAAATTTGGAGCTAATTCAGTTGATATGGTTTTTTCATGTTTTCTTTTTTCTTTGTGCGTGTGAAATAATCAAATAAGCACTTTGCAGTAGTTTGTTTCACCGTACGTTTTGGTTGCTTCTAATCATGGAAGCTTGTGATGATCAATTGCAATAACTGTAGCAAGGGCTTTAAACAAACAGGTGATATATGCACTTCAATTATTCTTTGCTGCACAAATTCTTGTATGAGTCCGACTAACGATTAGGTGGGTCGACCCGTCATACTTTTTAGATAAAATGCATGATGTCATACTTTTATTTATTTTATTTTTAGAGTTAATGAGGCAGTCTATCATTTTCCCTCACCAAATATGGATTGATTAATAATGTGTTCATGAAAAAATGAAAGTCTTATGTCAGTGTTTAATTTGCGGCTGGGGTCTGTGTTCAGAGAATATAAAATGGTTAGGAAATAATATTGTTTTGTGTTTTGAAATGTATTTAAGATAAGATCATTAGTAATAATTAGAATGAATAAATTAATCACACGTTTTAGTTAGTAACAATACATTATAGCCTCTGCTCCTTGATTATTGTACTCATTAGCAAATCTAGTGATCTACAGCAGAAGTTCTCATTCAGACACCAGTTCTTGAATAAAACATTATGTATGAGGCATCTTAATTTGAATTTCACACTATAATATTTTCACATGTTTGGTGAAAAAAAAAAAAGCGTTCTTTCGTTGGCATAAAAAGCTGGGTGCTCGTTTAGGGTCGAAGAAGCAATGTAACTCGATCATTCTCAAACTGGCTGCAATCTTTTTTCTATCCGTGAAGATCCCACTTTATCAGCTTTTCATACTTGTGTACACTTTATTATAACTTAAAAGACAATGGACTTTATATTACCAGTTAATGTGGATTGTGTTACCATTTGTGCTTGCTCACAGAATTGGCTCTGTTTACGGCTGTTGTTGCATTCATTTGCAGCTATATTTTCTCTGTGTTGTGCATATTGTTCAAATTTTTATGTAATGTGAAGAATGCTTTATCAACTTGTCAAGCTCATCTTTTCTTATTTTTGGTTTCATCGACTCGTGTATTCAGTTACTGTTTTCATTTTAGTACATCCGTAATTTGCAATCGATGGATTGAGATCAATCTTGAAAAGTAGGGTAGAAAAGCAGCTAGAACATCATTATATATTTCATTAAACCATGACAAAATGTAGTTTCGTCAAGAACATGTGTGCTTTATTCCTCAATGTTGACATAATTTATAATAATTTATTGGAACAAAGATGACAATATGTGTGTAGAATATCATCATCACTCCATTTTTGTTGTTTGGCTTTCCTTGTGCTTCTTAGTTGATCCTGCCATGAAAACAAAAAAAAAAAACAAACAACAAAAAAAACAAACAACAAAAAAAACAAAAATCAAATCTAACAAGATCTTTCATATTCTTTCATATGTATCAACTTGTCACAAATTTTGAAAAAAAAAAATGAGAATACTGATTAATTTATTGATACTCACTTGTCACAGTCAACAGTACGCGACACAGGAATATCCAGCTGGACCCCACAGCTAGTTGGCAAACTCTGGGCAGCCGAGTCCTTGAGGTCATCCAACCGGATTGCAGCTGCCTTAACACAGCTGCAACAAGCGCGTTTATCAGCCGTTGTCTGGGCCAAAGCCTTAACGGTCTTGACGCCAGCACAGCACCCGGTTGATGGGCTGTCCGCACGCCCAGTAAGAAAAGTGATGCATGGGGCCAGGGCAGCGTCCACCTGGCCACAGGTCACGGCCCAGCCCGGCTGCACGGCCAATAAGAAGACAGCAAGAATGACAATCACGGGCAAAACACGCTTCATTTTCTTTTTATGAAGAAATTGGACTTAGTGGGAGCTGCTTGGGATTGAATTTTGAAGTGCAAAATGTGCTCTTTTTAAGTTTCTTATCAAGTAATGTGTTTTCTTGCTCGACAGTTACAATGGGTTCTGGGGTGTGTATTTTATAGGGTAGTGGATATGGGCTTTCTGTTTTGGTATTTTGGCTGTTTGTTTTATTTTGTGATGGGCTACTTTGCCTGAGATAGAAAGGATGTAACTGTTCTTATCACTTGACAGCTTTTCTTCAATTAGTCTTTATCCTTTTTCCCCGATTGAGTATTGTGATCATAAAACTTCTCATACTGAGTGTTGAGAATTATGCAACTTTAAGATATATGATCATAAAACTTCTCATACTTGGCGGTTATTTTCAACATCGACAATATTATTACCAATTACAATAGCAGCTACTACAAAAGTTCATCCTTGTTAAATATGAACATTAAAGACAATGAGTAGTTACTGAATTATCGAATTTGACAAGCATATTGTCAAGCTGGGTTTGTAGTTTTAGGATTCTACTTTGGGAGCTATCTACTGCTGTTTGGAATTTAACCTCAGGACATTTTCGAAACAGTATAATAAAATTCGATAAAGAAGCTCCGGAAGAAAAAAAAAGAAAAAAAATCAAAAATATGTTATAAGTTGAATTTGCCCAAAGAAAAGTCTTTGTTTGCCGAGAGTTGGATTGCCCGAAGTCTCCGATGAAGTCTTTGTTTAACCTGGAAATTTTTGTTCGAACAGAGAGTTCTGATACGAACCTTTACACTGGCAAACATAAACCATGTTATAAAACCAACTATTTATCAGCTAGACGACAGTTGAACAAAGCAGAGATCCTCAAGATAATAAACAAGCCTCAAACTTCCACATTGTGAATTAAAATAAAATCAGTTGAACTACTAATAAATAAAAAAATAAAAATCATAAAAACGATAATAGATAATAATAAACCAATCAGGGAGTCTTATCATCACTAAAACATAATTCTTAGTCTCACAAAACAAAAACCCTGAACTCAAAATCACCAAAAGAATACGCATCAATCGAGTTTAATCAACTTCCTCCATCTTGCTGCCCTCAGCATCAGCATCTGCTTCCTCCAGCAGAGGCATGTCAGCATCACCCTCACCGGCATCATCATCAATGCTCAGTCCAAGCTTCAACATCCTATGAATTCTATTGCCAAACGTGCTGGGCTCGTCCAGGCTAAAGCCCGAAGTGAGCAGGGCAGTCTCAAACAGCAACAGCACCAAATCCTTAACCGACTTGTCGTTTTTATCGGCATCAGCCCTCTTCCTCAGCTCCTCCATGATAGGATTCTCCGGATTGATCTCCATAGTCTTCTTGCTCGACATGTAGCCAGCCATGCTCGAGTCCCTCAAAGCCTGTGCCTTCATGATCCTCTCCATATTAGCAGTCCACCCGTACTCTCCAGTCACCAGACAGCAGGGCGAGTCAACAACACGGTCAGACACAACAACCTTTTCGACCTTATCTCCAAGAACATCCTTAATCACCTTGCAAAGACCCTCAAACTTCTCCTTCAATTCCTCCTTTTTCTTCTTCTCATCCTCACTCTCGTCAAGCTTCAGACCCTCCTTGGTGGCTGAGACAAGCTTTTTGCCCTCAAACTCCTTCAACTGACCCACAGCGTACTCATCAATGGCATCCACCATGAACAGAACCTCGTAACCCTTCTTCTTGAGCCGCTCAAGGAAGGGAGAGTTCTCGACTGCCTTCTTGCTCTCACCAGTAATATAATAAATGTCATTCTGACCCTCCTTCATCCTCGTCACGTAGTCCTTGAGACTCGTCAACTCATCGCCACTCTTGGTCGAGTGGTATCTAAGCAACTCAGCAATCTTCGACTTGTTCTGTGAGTCCTCGTGGATTCCGAGCTTCAAGTTCTTGGAGAAAGCTTCGTAGAACTTGTTGTAGTCTTCCTTGTTCTCAGCAATCTCGAAAAAGAGCTCGATGCACTTCTTGACCAGGTTCTTACGGATCACCTTGAGGATCTTGTTCTGCTGGAGCATCTCACGGGAGATGTTGAGGGGGAGATCCTCAGAGTCGACTATGCCCTTTACAAAGCCCAGGTATTCAGGAATAAGCTCCTCACAGTTGTCCATAATGAAAACCCGACGGACATACAGCTTGATGTTGTTGGGCTTCTTCCGGCCGTCAAAGAGGTCAAATGGGGCCCGCTTGGGGACAAACAGAATGGCCTTGAACTCGAGCTGGCCCTCAACCGAAAAGTGTTTCACAGCCAGGTGCTCCTCCCAATCATTGGTCAGGGACTTGTAGAAGGCCGAGTACTCTTCCTTGGTGATCTCCTCAGGCTTCCTCATCCAAATGGGCTTCTGCTTGTTCACCAAATCCCACTCGTGAGACACCTCCTTGATCTTCTTCTTCTTCTTCTCAGCTTTCTCCTTGTCCTCATCCACCTCCTCTACCTTTCCCTCCTCGTCCTTCTTTTCCTCATCCTCATCCTCGTCATCTGATATTTCCTTCTCGGTAGTCTTCTCAATCCAGAGGGAGATGGGATAGCTGATGAATTCGGAGTGCTTCTTGACGAGGTCCTTGAGACGGCGCTCCTCAAGATACTCGAGCTGGTCCTCCTTGAGGTGGAGGGTGATCTTTGTGCCCCGGCCAAGGGGCTCACCAGAGGTGTCCCTTGTGACGGTGAAGGAGCCTCCAGCCTGAGACTCCCAGACATACTGCTCATCATCATTGTGCTTGGTGGTGACAATCACCTTTTCAGCCACAAGGTAAGCAGAGTAGAAACCGACACCAAATTGACCAATCATACTAACATCAGCACCAGCAGCCAGGGCCTCCATAAACTCCTTGGTCCCAGACCGGGCAATTGTGCCAAGGTTGTTCACAAGGTCTGCAACAAGTTAACTCATGAGTCCCCAAACAGAAGTATACTAGTCAGTGAAAAGATAATTAGTTGAATACTAGATACGGACCAGCCTTGGTCATGCCGATGCCACTGTCAACAATGGTCAGGGTATTGTTGGTCTTGTCGGGGATTATGTGGATGAATAGCTCGGGTTGTGCATCAAGCTTGCTCTTGTCAGTCAAGCTCTCAAAGCGGATCTTGTCTAGAGCCTGAACACATTATTACTCAATCAGGAAGATATTTTATAGAGCTACTCAAGGAACATGAAACAATTCCAGAAAACAAAGGAAAGGAAGTGTACATATAGGGAATTAGAAGCCAATAAACACTCACAAACACACAGACAAACACGCATACACATCAACACAGGTCCAGAATTACCATACTTAAGAGTCCAATAACCACAATGAACACAGACAAGTGTATCTAAAATAACACCATACTCTAGGAGCATATCTTTAATAGTCCTCCACCACATTACATCAACAAACCATCATGATAATTTCTATAGACATCCTAGCATTATATCAGTTGTGTACATAAGCTATAAATCACAATTGAAAGTATTAAATTAGCAAGCATTCGCTCTATCAGCATCATTTATAGTCCTCAACCACATTTCATCAACAAACCATCAGCAACTACCTATAGAAGTTCAACCACCATATCAACTGTGTCCAGACGCTAAAATCACAATGTAGGTACACAATTAGCAAGTACGCGCTCTGTGAGCATCACTTCTAGTTTTCATAACAAAGCATCAACCAGTTCTTAGATTATAGCATCATATAAATCGAGCCCAGAAGCTAAAAGTCACAAATTGAAGCACAAATCATCATATTTAACACACAGAAGCAGTTTCAACATAAGCGTACTTCCAGAAACACGAATTAAAAACGAAGCTAGCACGCCGAAGCCACTCATCAACCATCAGAAAAGCATACATTACAAGGTCTAGACAACAGCAATCACATGGTACAAGCAAACCAGAGAGGATACTCACATCAGATGAATTACTGATCAATTCACGAAGAAAGATCTCCTTGTTGCTGTAAAAGGTGTTGATGATTAGACTCAGCAGCTGATTAATCTCGGCCTGGAAAGCAAACGTCTCTGTATCCGCCATCTCTTCAGATTTTTTCTCTCGCGATCTGCAAATTCAAAGAGGCGAATTGTAGGGTTTGAATGAGTTGGGTTGTACTGAATACTGATGGGAAAGCTCAGTTTATATAGGCTGTATGCTCTTAGGGTTTCTAGATCCTTCTAGGATATCCTTTTCCTTTTGTTTTTCTTCTTTTATTCGGTATTCTTTCATGTAATTAACGTTTTCCATTGTTTGGTGGGAGAAAGCGTGTAACTTGGGCATGGTATTATTCTATTTTAAATTTGTAACCATATTAATTAGCTAAACTATACAAAATTTGCTCAACAATTCTATAATCATTTACTTGAGAATAAAATAACATGATGAGTGATATGATTGATTATAATAACTAATAGAGTTTACCTTATATTAAAATTCAATTTAATAATCTCGTATTTAGCTAATATCAAAATGTGTGATGTTCCAACTCGTTCAATTTTAGTATTAATATTACCTTTTTATTTAATTAAAATTGATGTTCCTCCTCAATCGATCTAAGTATCAAATTTCCATTTATATAATTAAATTTTCAATCTAAAATCGATAATTGACTTGATTCGAGTATCAATAATTCCATTTCATATAATTAAATTTTCAATTTAAAATGGATAATTGACTTGTTATTGTTGGTAAAAATGGATAAATTGATATAATTAACTAATTAAAATGGAAGTTGGTAATAAATTTAAAAGGTATAATTAATACATAGTGATTACAAAATTAGTAGTTAGATAACTAATAATTTTATAGTAGCATTAGTTAAATATGCTCTCCAACTTTCAAAACTACATGTAATCTAATTTGAATAACATTGGTTGACATGTTACTAGTGTTTTGTTCTCATATTGGTTACCTTATGGTTCTTCATTCAGTCGAAACCGAACTGAGCAGACCAAAATTTTGGTTAACCGAAATTTGATTTATACATCACAAAAAAAAGAACCGAAGTTTTTAGTTTAGTCGATTTCTAACCGAAAATTCGACGGTCAGTTCGATTCGGTTATCAGTTAATCGCAATAAATAATTAATTTGCTCTATAAATTATGAATTTTAAACCAAACAAACCTTTTTGTCAGTTACGGCTCGTTGTCTTCGATGACGTGCAAAACGACGGGAGGGGTCCCGACGGCAAAGACTCTGGCACTCAAGTTAGTCTATGTCCAATGAATATAAAAGCAGTAGTGTACAAGTATATGCGCATGTGTGTTGGGTAAAAACGATAATCTCAACAACTTTTTATAGTTAGGGTTGTTTGTTGGTCAAGAGACTTTTGGCATGATAAAAAGTCCTATCGCATATTCTGTTTTAACTAACTAGATATTCTCATATCTTTTAGTATAATTGAGGATATACACTTCCTATCCATAAAGGATTATGTTTGTGCAAGTTGTATGACTTATAGGTATCTAGATCACTCTGACTTTGATACCTTCTTGCCTCATGTCAATATCACCCCTGACCTAAAGTATGTTGAGGTCGACTTTCGGCCCAAGTGTTCCAAGGTTGTCATCCAACTTGGGAATGCCGAGGTCAACTTCGTGACATCGAGCCTATTAGATATCTCTTTTACTCGAGGTCGGAGGTCTCTCCGCGCCCAAGCTATATGCCCTTCCCGTCACTCGTCCCTCATCCCATCTGAAGTCAGTCCTTGGTCATTCGAGGTCAACGTACTGTACGGAACTCACTGGAGTCGTTCAATGTCGACTAACACATCTTATCGGTTCACTCGAGCTGTTTTGGATGCTATAACAATCACCTTGTTTAATATTCTTAATAAATTTCAAATTCTATTATAATGAAGATCTCGAACTTGAACAATGTTTTGGACTATGATGAAGCCAATTTTGTGTGCAAATCAAGGCTTGAGCCATTTTAGGGATCATTTAAAGATCGAAAATCACCAATCGTTGAAACAAATTAATGCTTTATAACTTATACATATAATTATATAAGCACACACACATATATATACATATATTATAAATCAGTTTTCTCTTCGATTCGTAACCGATCACTATTATCCAAACCAAACCAGAAACTAAAATTTCAGGAAAATGTAAACCGAAGTAAATATTCGATTTCGATTTCAGTCAAATCGAATTTAAGGTTGTAGTCCGTTACGCTCGATTAACTGAATTTATCCAAACTAATCGAAAATTGAAGTTTTAAGAAAATGTGAACTTAAAATCGAATCAAATATCGATTTTGATTTCGGTCCAAACCGAATTTTCAGTTCGATCGGTTCGACTCGATTAAGGGGGTGTTTCTTTATAAATATACTCAATCCACTCAATTCACTCAAAATTTAACTCAAATTTAACCCAACCCACCATCCTTGATATTAAAAATATAATTAAATAAAACTATTCAATCGTTTTTACACATCAAATTAACTTTAATTTATCATTCATCCACTCACATAATTTTAACTAACCATCATTTGACATTATCTCTCTCATACTTTTACATCAACTCAACTTTAATTATTTTATTTTTAATATTATTTTAATATAAATTCAAAATCATACTAACAACAAAATATACCACATTTTTAATAATTAACTCTAGTTAACTAAAAAAATTCATTTTGAGTGAATATATTTGTAGTTACATGAATAATTTGCTCAAATTGACGAGCCTACGGGCATGCTTGTTTACCAAATAATTTGCTCACATTTAATTTATACTCAAAATCTAACTCATTTTAACTCAAACACGCTATCCTTAATATTATTCATATAATTAAACAATACAGACCTATCATACTTGCACATCACATAAACTTCAATTCACTATTTATCTACTCACATAATTTTAACTACATATCATTTTCAATCATTCCCAATCCTTAATATCATACTTTTACATCAAATCAATATTAATATTTTATTTTAAATATTATTTTAATACATTTTTAAATTTCTAATCATACAATTTTTTTTAAAATTAACTCTAGTTAACTAAGATAACTCATTTTGAATAGATTATTTGGTAAACAAGCATACCCTAAATAATAGACCGTCCGCTGGTCATTGTAGCCTACTATCCGACAAAGATGCAGGACGGGCCGGCCCGTTTAGGTCCTTTACTAAACGGGCCTTCAAATGGCCAATCCTCCTCTTTGACCACCAGGCCTAATTGTTGTCACCTGAAGCGATTTCAGTTGAGCGATGAGGTAGCTTCCAGACATATTTTTGAGCTTCTGAGGTTAGTGTTATCATTCGCTTACTTTAACATGATGAATCCTTAAAAATCTTTCTTTTTTTTTATTATTATTATCAATTTCCTGCTCTAATTTGTGCGAATTTCTGCTCAATGCGGGCTTTGGGATTTGATTCAATGTATGTGGCATGTTTGTAGCCGTTCTTTATTTTCTACGCACATCTTGATCGATGCATAAAGAATGAATCTTTTTACATGATAATGCAGCTGCTGAATGTTGTTTTCGAAATTCTGTAGTTCAAATGAATGATATCTTTTGTTAATTTTGTTATAGTTCAAATAAATCATGGATCGTTGGAGTGGGGTTTTGAAAATCCAGCTTAATCCAAACAGTAGTAGTTTCTACCGGGTTGCGGCATCCCTTGGCCTCTCTTCGTCTCCCAAAAACCTCGCCGTAAGTGTACTTCACTCACGGGCTTTCCTTAAAAAAAGAAGGAGAAATGAATAATGGAGCAATTAATTGTGCTTTATTTGTTAGGTACCTTCAAGAAACGCTATATTTTTCAGTGGCGATCGGGTGGAGGGGACGGGTAATCCAGTGATCGAGAGATTATCCGATCTTAAGACGATTGCCGAGGTATTGGTGTCAAAGTTTGGTGGATCTGTTAATGCCTTTGTTGTGGAAGCTTCTGTTTTCAACGGACCTTTTGCCGTTTACAAGGATTTTGTGCCGTCTGTGAACGATCATGGGGAACCGGAATCTTATGATGCTACTGGCTTCCCAGCCTCGACTTCATTAGTCCTGCTATTGTCGAAGTTCCTTGCAGAGGTAACAATTTCCCGGCAGATTATATATTTTTTATTTAGTCACAGATTCTAACCAATTTTCAGAGTAATTTAATAGAACTAAGAAAGCATAATGGAAGATCCGATTGCTTGAGTTGAATGTTCTTCAGAAGCTTTTGACACTATGCTAAATCGTTTGCTAATTATTTGATATAGAAGTTATGCGCTTAGTTAATGTACAAATCCCATGGGTATCTTTGCTTGTACCATATATACTCTCTATGATTTGATCAACCAAGGTTGAAATCATGGAATGTGATAATTATATTTCACACCCTGGACATATTTTTTGTTTGTCGCCCTGTTTGTATAGATCATCTTATTTCTGGATTGGTTTGCTTTTGTGCTTGTGCTCGAGTACGACCTGAATTCAAATTATCCTTCCTCGATAAATAACAATACAAATTTCTTGTGTTAATGGCCTGGATAAGTCGTTCGCATTGAATTTATTCCATGACTCGTGCATCTTAAGACGAAAAATGTATGAAACTCCCTAATTTTGCTCCATTTTATCATTTCTTTGACTCGTGTGCTGCTACAGCAGGCGAAAAACATCATTCTAGGCAAACAGAACGAATCATACCAAGCCGAGACCTCCACATCACATTCACTCAAACCAAAAACCACACTTCTCGGCTTTAGCAAAGGCGGCATCATACTCAATCAGCTCATAACTGAATTTGCCTTCTCACAATTACCCATTGAACTTTCTAAGAAAGAGTTCGAACACATTATACCCACATCAAAAGAACACCTTTTAAACAGCATATCAGAAATCCACTATGTTGATGTAGGATTAAACTCTAAAGGAGCTTATCTCGACAGTAAAGACGTGATTGACAGAATTTCTGAACGTGTTTCGAAAAGGAATTTTGGAATCCGGTTCATCTTGCACGGGACCCCAAGACAATGGCGTGACGAGAGAAGGATTTGGATCCGTATGGAGAAAGATGCCTTGCTTCGGCTCCTCAAGGGAGCCGCTAGTAAGGACGTGTTTGGGAAACTGAAATTTCGAGAGAGGCTGTACTTTCCACACAGGCTTCCCGATTTGCAGATGCATTTCGAGATTATTGACTTTATTGATGTGAGTTGACTTGAAGTATATGATGTTTTGGGTTTGGGGTTGATGTTGTCTTGTTGGGAAGAAGTTTATGTATGGAGGTTGTTGATCTTTGTTGTTTTTGGCATGAAAATGTGATGAAATAATGTAGGAATTGTTGATGCAGGAAAATAGGGAAGAGATATTGAATCACTGATTATTATTTGCATTTTT